CTACAATAAAAAAAATACATATTTCCATGCAAAAAAAGTACCGCTTTGAGGACAGAAATATGGACAATCAGACCGACAGGGAGGTTAACAGGATATTACCACCTCCATTCTTTACTACAGGAATAGTTATTTGAATGGTGAGATGTATTGGATTTCCACCAGACATATCGTTTGGAGTTGAGGCCAAATAATTCAATTTAAGTCATCTCACCATACACTTTTCCATGCGGACTCAGAATCTTCAAGGTGTGTTTTGACAAAGCTCAGTCATGACTGCATGTGGCCCTTCTTGAGGAGTAGCTTTTTTCTTGCAACCCTCCCATACAAGCCACAATCGTGGAGAATTTTTGATGTTGCGGTCATATGCACACAATGACTACTCTGTCATAAATTCCTGCAACTGCTTCAGAGTTGCTGTAAGCCTCCTGGTAGCCTCTCTGACCAGTTTGGAGCGACGTCCTGATCCAGGGAGGGTCTATGTTGTAGCAAATACCTTCCACTTCACCATGCTTCTTAGGCATTGATAAAGAATTGAAATGGTTGTTTTTGTATCTCCTGACTTGTGCCTATTCACAAGTTTATCTCGGAGATCTTTTGACAGCGCCTTACCACCCCACAGCCGATTGTTTGCTTCAGTTGCACTACTAGGGACTGAAAGGAAAACGCTTTTCATGCTGACCATCAAAACGGTAACAGTTAAAAGTCAAATGGCTGTGTGTGCCATTGAGAAGGTAATTAGCGACATCTGACTGAGTTTACAAGTCATTTTTAGGAAGGGGGTGATCCTTTTTCCAACTAAAGTGATTTTGTTGTTGAATTTGTTTCTGACATGTTGGTATGTTATATCTTATATCTATTTATGAGTAAATACAGCTGGATCACACAAAAACTGGCTGCAAAGCAACAAAAATGTGATTATAAAAAGGGGGTGCGGGTGGTATGGAGCGGATTCTCTTCTATACCCACTGAATGTGTTTGCATTATATATATATATACACACAAAGTGTGTGTGCATGTATATATGCAGGGCTCAAAATTTCAAGTCCTGAGCTACTAGCCAGGCCTTAAGAGTTACTCACCATCAGTTGTTGCCCCATAATTCTGCCTCTAAACATACCCTTCAAAAGTATCTCATGAAATGACACTGTTAAATGCTCCTCACATTACATCAGGATCCCCAGAGTCCCCCCACATTATACACACACACACAGCCCTATAAAAAGTTGCAATACATTAGCTTCCATCACACAGCTGGGTACTGCATTCTAGGGGGAGGCAGAGCGCACAGCAGACAGTCCCCCCACCCCCTTTGCTTTCATTTTGCTTAGCGTATTCAGCAGTCTGATGGCCCTTTGGGACACACTCGCCCTCACGTTATTTCCACTCGCCATATATGAACAGGCGAGTGGAAATGTTGAGGCCTGTATACATGAACAGGGATTGCACATTGCTTACACTTGCCCCATAGTTGGGGAGCACACTCCAGAGGTGTCCCTAGCAATGCTGTGTGGCTCAGCACATATTATGCAGGATTTATATAGCGTTACCATTAATTAAGGCAAATATATGCAAAAAAATCTTATTTTAAATAGCGAAGACAGTTTAAAGCTATCTGTTAAAAAAAAAAATAAAGTGTGCTGAAGACAGCTGAATTGGGAAGCTGCAAAATGAGTTCCTTCTGACTGCAGCATCTGTAGAAACGTAAAGTGTTACTAAACCCACAACAGTAAAATCAGTCTGTATATGCAGTAAAGAAAGCATGCTTGTTATACTCACTATGGAACCTAAGGGGTGAATTATCTGTATTTTGTAAAAGGTTGTTTGATCCTGACTTCTCTGATCCACCCCTTCTTTTGCTGTTCCCAATACATCTGCTGATAGTACAGAGCCCTAGGAGGCACTTTGCACATGCTCAGTTTGAAGTTTACGGCTAGAGTTTTTTTTTTTGTTTTGGGAGGGTGTATGTGATCGGCACAAGGCCAATCAGCACTGTCCAAACAGAGGGTCAAGGTTAGGCAGCCTCATAGGACAGTCAGAGGAGAACGAAAACTCCTTCTACAAGCTTTAAAAGGATAGGTTCACCTTTCATTCAGGGTGTAACATGTAACGTTCAGACCGCTCCCTGCTCCTCACTAGCAGGGGATCTTCTTCCCCTTCACTAGCTAGGGTCAAATTTATTTATTTATTTTTTTTTAATGAGGCTGTGCGGGGCTCCGCCTACTCAACTAAATCACTCATTTACAGTCATCTGTGAATGAGAGACTACAAGTCCTGACAGCCTTAGCAGCTGTAAGCTTGTAGCTGTTAAATGAACTACCACTGAACTGTGAAGCACCGTAGTTCATTCATTCTTCCTGTCAGAATATCTGCTTGCTCGTACATCCCGTACGGCAAGCAGATATTCTGACAGATCTGCAGGAGACCTTTATGGCATCAGCGATCTACTGATCACTGGTGCAATGCTTTCCAGGCTCCTAAAGACAAAAATAATAAAGGCACATTTTTTTTTAACCTGAAAAAAAAATGTGCATTTAGCACTTTTTTTCTAAAAGGTGAACTTATCCCTTAACCAGACACTGATAGAAGCCACAAGACTGCTATATACTGCTGAAGTGAAAAGGTATTTAGCAGTTTATGTTTACTTATATAATTGCATTTCCATGCTCTCTGTACTGTGGGAGACCAGATATAGTGAATGCAGGCTCCTGGGTTTAGTAACACTTTAACCACTTGAGCTCCTGAGGATTTACCCCCCTTAATGACCAGGCCTTTTTTTTGCTGTTTGGCGCTGCACTAATTCAAATGATAATTGCGCGGTCATGCAATGCTGTACCCAAACGAAATTTACGTCCTTTTTTCACACAAATAGAGCTTTCTTTTGGTGGTATTTTATCACCTGTGCGCTTATTTTTTGCGCTATAAACAAAAGAAACACGAATTTTGAAAAAAAAAAAAATATTTTCTACTTTCAGCTATAAAAAATATATTGTAAACTCAAAGTTAGTCATAAATTTAAGCCAAAATGTATTCTGCTACATGTTTTTGGTAAAAAAAAATCCCGTGCATTAGCGGCCAAACTGGCGCTGCTATCTGGGAGGGGCGCTAACACTATTGGAAGTCACCAGTGACACTAATACAGTGATCAGTAAAAATCTGTTCACTGTAATCAATGACACTGGTGACAGGGCAGTGAAGGGGTTAACTGGGGGTGGGGTGGGGGGCAATCAAGGGGTTAAAATGGGATTATTGGTGTACTGGCGGGCAAACTGGCGCTATCTGGGAGGGGCGCTAACACTATTGGAAGTCGCCAGCGACACTGATACAGTGATCAGTAAAAATCTGTTCACTGATCAATGACACTGTTGACAGGGCAGTGGAGGGGTTAACTCGGGGGGTGCGATCAAGGGGTTAGACGGGATTACTGGTGTATTAGCGGGCAATCTGGCGCTATCTGGGAGGGGCGCTAACACTATCGGAAGTCGCCAGTGACACTGATACAGTGATCAGTAAAAATCGGTTCACTGATCAGTGACACTGTGGACAGGGCAGTGAAGGGGTTAACTGGGGGGGGGGGGGGGCGATCAAGAGGTTAAATGGGATTACTGGTATACTGGCAGGCAAACTGGCGCTATCTGGGAGAGGCACTATCGGAAGTCGCCAGCGACACTGATACAGTGATCAGTAAAAATCGGTTCACTGATCAGTGACACTGGTGACAGGGCAGTGAAGGGGTTTAACTGGGGGGGGGGGGGGGGAGATCAGGGGGTTAAATGTGTCCTAGAGTGTTCTAACTGTGGGTATGTGCTGTTTTGCGCACAATTTGTATGTCTTCTTTCCTGTCTGGAACGGAATGTGTCCAGGCAGAGAAGAATGACATCATATCCTGTCCTGTGTAACTGTCAACACAGGACAGGATAGGACAGGGACCGATCATCTGATTTCAGCCAGACATCACTGGCTGAAATCAAATGATTGATCCCTCCGGGATCAAATGGTTTCACCCGCGGGTCGGCGGGAGCGCGCGCGCGCCCCTGCCCGCGAAAACGTCGGGAGCGCGGAGCCCGTTTTAAAACGTGCTTTTGCGCCCCAGTGCCGCCCTGCACACGTATATATGCAGTGGCAGGGCGGCAAGTGGTTAATATAAAACAAAGAAATGGTTTTCTTCTTTCAGGAGAGAAGACATTTATGCTACTAGTACACTAGTGAAAAACTGAGGCATGCTGGAAGTGGTTATACTGTCCTTCCAACGTTGTTTGTCGATGTCCAATATCCTATACAAATCCTATACCTGAATAGTCATCCTGTGTGCTGTAATGTCCAAAAAAACCCCAACATTTTGGTTCTTTGGTTTAATTAGGCTTCAAGGAGGACCTGAACTATGGAAGCTATGCTAAGGGAAAAAAAACAAAGCACAAGGCAAAAGGACTAATTGGCAGTATTGTCTATAGACTCCGTGCGTCACATCTTGACAACTGGTGATTTGATGAGCAATAATTAAAGCAGTAGCAGGAAAGGTTCAAAAAGCACAGATCCACAGAATGAAGAAAGGGAGAGCCTTGGACTGCAGGTCCTCAGGTACAGCTTCCTTTTCAGCAAAAACAGTAAACTCAGTAGTGCTTTAAATCTCAAAACATACTGGCAGTCAGTCAAAGGCAGGTGTCCTAGATTTCATACAGTAGATATACTACTACGAGACTGCAAGCATGGGTAGTGCATTCTGTCTCAGAAAAATTCAACACAACCAAACAAAAAAAAAGGTATTTTTCAGGGTACTGTTTTGTCACAATTAACACTTCTACATCACATCCAAATATAAAATTTTTGAATGGTAAAACCTTTGAGAGGGGAATTTTAAAAATAATTACATAAAATGATAATTTTTTTTCTTTGTAAAAAAAGCTGCATATTTGAATGACTTACCAGTTTTCATGGCACTTGGAGCTACAGGGGGTGTATTTCCCAGCCTGGGGTTGGAGGTCCAGTTTTTCTTCTGCTTCCCCCCATCCAGAAGCAGGTTCAGATGGCTCACCCCAAGCTGCAGTGCCATTGTCAGCTGGGGGACCCTTATTTTTTCCCCAAACTAAATTATTAAACAAAAAAAAAAAAAGTTATGAAAGTTAAAAGTAAGCATATACATGAACACTTTCTAGCTGTAAAAGGGAATACATGTTCAGATATACGAATGTGAAAATATCTCTCCTTAAAGTGACCATGCCAGGGTATCAAAAAATCCTAATAGGTGCCCTGCAAGCTTACAGCTTTTATACTCACTTTTCTGGTGGCATGTATTTCCTTTCACCATACCATTCCAGTGTTGCAGCCTCTGTAGGTCTACAGAGGAAGTTGGCTACGTTCCTATGGACCTTAACATCTTGATAATAGCAGCAACTATGGTCCCAGGAACATCTTTGGACATTGTTTTTCAGTCTGTATTATGCTAACCTTGCTTTACCAGCCTAAACTATGCTGGTCTTTCTTCTTCAGACAACTGTTTTTCTTTCTCATTTATGTTTACTGTTCTGTACACAATGACACAATGTCTCTGAGTACTTTTCTCTATTCAAATAGGCTGAGTGACTGATTAGGTGATCAAAGACACCTGTGATGCTAAGTGAAAACAGTCCGATTGGAATATCACTAAATTCCAATACTGTGTTTTCACTTTAAGGTACGTTCACACTAGCCTTGTGTGTAGGCGGCAGAGAGGCGTTTGGGAAGCGTTTTTTACCGCTTCCCAAACGCCTCTGCCAATTCTGCACATTTACAGCACATGGTGCTGTTCTAACGGGAGCGTTTGCGTTGCGTCGTGTTGCGTCGCAGCCCCCCCCCCCCCCCCTTTTCCCCCCCCCCCCCCCCCCCCCCCCCCCCCCCCCCCCCAACCCCCCCCCAATAAAAAAAAAAAAAAAAAACCCCCCCCCCCCCCCAAAAAAAACCCCCCCCACCCCCCCCCCCCCCCAAAAACCCCCCCCAAAAAAAAAAAAAAAAACCCAAAACAAAAACAAAAAAAAACAAAAAAAACCCCCAACCCCCCCCCCCCCCCCCCCCCCCCCCCCCCAAAAAAAAAACCCCCCCAAAAAAAAAAAAAAAAAAAAAAAAAAATTTTACCCCCCCCCCCCCCCCCCAAAACCCCCCCCCAAAAAAAAAAAAAAAAAAAAAAAACCAATTTTTTTTTTCCCCAAAAAAAATTTTTTTTTTTTTTTTAAAAAAAAAAAAAAAAAAAAACCCCCCCAAAAAAAAAAAAAAAAAAAAAATTTTTTTTTTAAAAAAAAAAAAAAAAAAAAAACCCCCCCCCAACCCCCAAAAATTTTTTTTTTTTTTTTTAAAAAAAAAAAAAAAACCCCAAACCCCCCCCCCCCCAAAAAAAAAAAAAAAAAAAAAAAAAAAAAAAAAAAAAAAAAAAATTTTAAAAAAAAAAAAAAAAAAAAACCCCAAAAAAAAAATTTTTTAAAAAAAAAAAAACCCCCCCCCCCCCCCCCCCCCCCCCCCCCCCCCCCCCCCCCCCCCCCTGGGGGAAAAAAAAAATTTTTTTTAAAAATTTTCCAAAAAAAAAAAAAAAAAAAAAAAAAAAAAAAAAAAAAAAAAAAAAAAAAGGGGGAAAAAAAAAATTTTTTAAAAAAAAATTTTTTTTTTTCCCAATTTTTTCCCTTTTTTTTAAAAAAAAGGGGGGGCCCCTTTTTTTGGGAAAAAAAATTTAAACTTTTAAAAATAAAAAAAAAAAAATTTTAAAAAAAAAATTTTTTTTTTTTAAAAAAAAAAAAATTTTTTAAAATTTTTTTTTAAAAAAGGGGGAAATTTTTTTTTGGTTTTTCCCCCCAAAAATTTTTTGGGAATTTTTTTCCCCCCTTTTTTATTTTTTTTTTAAACCCAAAAAAATTTTTTTAAAAATTTTTTTTTTTTTTGGGGGGGAAACCTTGGGGTTGAACCAAAACCCCCAAAAATTTTTCCCGGGGGTTTTTGGGGGGAAAAAATTTTTTTTTTAAAAAAATTTTTTTTACCCCCGGGGGAAAAAAAAAAAAAAATTTTTTTCCCCTTTAAACCCCTTTTTGGGGGAAACCCCCCAAAAGGTTAAAAAAAAAAGGGGTTAAAAAATTTTAAAAAAAAATTTTTTTTTTTTTAAAACAAAAAAAACCAAAGGAAATTGAAAAAAAAAAAAAGGGTTTAAATTTTAAAATTTAAAAAAAAATTTTTGGTTTTTTTAAAAAAAAAACCCCAAAAAAGGGGTTTTTTTTTCCCCCCCCCCCCCCTTTTTGGGTTTGGGGGCCCCCAAAAACCCCCTTTTTTCGGTTTGGGTTTTTAAAAAAATTTGGGGTTTCCCCCTTTTCCCCCCTTTTTCCCAAAAAAAAAAATTTTTTTCCCGGTGCGGGGAAAAATTTTTAAAGGGGGTTTTTTTTTTTAAAAATTTTTTTTGGGGGGGGCCCCCCCAAAAAAGGCATGCAGGATATAAAAAATTTTTAAAAAAAATTTTTTTTTTTTAAACAGTTCATTTCAAAAGCTTTGTTGTTTAACCTACAAAAAAAGCAAGCAAATTTTAAAAAATGCTGGCGAAAAAAAACAAGCCCCAAACAAACCCCAAAAAAAAAAAAAAAAAGGGGGGGGGAGGGGGGGGAGGGAAGGAGAAGAGATGGGGAGGGAGGGTTTGGGGGGAGGGGGGGAAGGGGGGAGGGGGGGGGGGAGGGAGGGGGGGGGGGGGGGGGGGGGGAGGGGGGGGGGGAGGGGGGGGAGGGAAAAGGGGGAGAGAAGGAAGGGGGGGAGGGAGGGGGGGGAGGGGGGAGGGGAAGAAAGGGAAAAGGGGAGGGGGGACGGAGGGGTGGGGGAGGGGGGGGAGGGGGAGGGGGAAGGAAGGGGGGGGGAGGGAGGGAAAGGGGGGAAGGGAAAAAGGGGGGGGGAGGGGGGGAAAGGGGGAAGGAAAGAGGGGAGGGGGGGGAAGGGGGGGGGGGAGGGAGGGAGGGAGGGAGGGGGAAGAGGGGGGGGAGGGGGGAGGGAGAGGGGAAAAGGGGTTGGGGGGGGGGGGGGGGGGGGGGGGTGGTGGGGGGGGAGGGGGGGAGGGAAAGGGAAAAGGGGGAGGGGGGGAGGGGGGGGGAAGGAAGGGGTGAGGGAGGGGGGGGGAGAAGGAAGAGGGGGGGGGAGGGAGGGAAAGGAAAAGGGGAGGGGGGGGAGGGGAAGGAAGAGGGGGGGGGGGGGAAAGGGGGGGGGAGAAGGGAAGGGGGGGGAGGGGAAAGGGAGGGAGGGAAGAAGGAAAAGGGGGGGGGAGGGGGGAAGGGGAGGGGGGGGAGGGGCGGAAGGGGGGGGAGGGAGGGGGAAGGGAAAAGGGGGGGGGGGAGGGAAGGGGGGGGGAGGGGGAAAGGAAGGGGGGGAAGGGGGGGGAAAAAGGGAAAGGGGGGGAGGGGGGGGAAAGGGGGGGAAAAAGGAAGAGGGGGGGGAGGAGGGAGAGGGGGGGAAGGGAAGGAAGAGGGGGAGGGGAGGGAGGGGGGAAAGGGAAAAAGGGGGGAGGGAGGGAGGGGGGAAAAAGGGAAAAGGGGAAAGGGGGGGGGAGGGGGAAGGAAGAGGGGAGGGAGGGAGGGGGGGGAGAAGGAAGGGGGAAGGGGGGGGGAGGGAAGGGGGGGGGGAGGGAGGGGAAGGGGGAAAAGGGGGGGGAGGGAGGGGGGGAGAGAAAGGAAAGAGGGGGAGGGAGGGGGGGAAGGAAGAGGGGGGGGCAGGGAGGGGGAAGGGAAAAGGGGGGGAAAAAAAAAAAAGGGGGGGGAGGGAGGAGGGAGGGGGGGAAGGGGGGGGAGGGAGGGAGGGAGGGGAAAGGAAAAGGGGGGGAGGGAGGGAGGGGGGGAAGGAAGAGGGGGGGAGGGGGGGAGGGGAAGGAAAAGGGGAGGGAGGGGGGGGGGAAGGACGAGGGAAAGGGGGGAGGGGAAAAAAGGAAAAGGGGAGGGAGGGAGGGAGAAGGAAGAGGGGGGGGGGAGGGGAGGGGAAGGAAAAAGGGGAGGGAGGGGGAAGGAGGGGGGAAGGGGGGAGGAGGGAAGGGGGGGAGGGGGGGGTGGGGGGAGGGGGAGGGGGGGAGGGGGAAAAGGGGAGGGAAGGGGGGGAAAAAGGGGGGAAGGGGGGGGGAGGGAAAAGGAGGGGGGGAGGGGGGGAGGGGAGGGGGAGGGAGGGGGGGAAGGGGGGGAGGGGAGGGAGGGAGGGGGGGGAAAAAAGGGAAAAGGGGGAAGGGAGGGGAGGGGGGAAAAAGGAAGGGGGGAAGGGGGAAAGGAAAGGGGAGGGGGAAGGAAAAGGGTGGGGGGGGAAAAAGGAAGGGGGGGGGGGAAAAATAGGGAAAGGAAAAGGGGGGGAAAGGGGAAAAGGGGGGGGTGGGGAGGGGGGGAAAGGAAGAGGGGAGGGGGGGGGAGGGGAAAAGGGGGGGGAGGGAAAGGGGGGGAGGGAGGGAAGGGAAAAAGGGGAGTGGAGGGGGGAGGGGGGGGAAGGAAGAGGGGAGGGGGGGAGGGGAGGGAGGGGAGGGGGAAAGGAAGAGGGGAGGGCGGGAGGGAGGGAGGAAAGGGAAAAAGGGGGAGGGAGGGAGGGGGGGGGAAGGAAGGAGGGGGAGGGAAAGGGAGGGGGAGGGAAAAGGAAAAAGGGGGGGAGGGAGGGGAAGGGGAAAAGGGGGGGGGAGGGGAAAAAAGAAGGGAAAAGGGGGGGAGGGGGGGAGAAGGAAAAGAGGGGGAGGGAGGGGGAAGGGAAAAGGGGAGGGGGGGAAGGGGGGGGAAAGGGAGGGGGGGAGGAGGGGGAAGAGGGGGGGGAGGGGGGGGGGGAGGGAGGGGAGGGGGGAAGGGGGGGAGGGGGGGGGGAGGGGGGGGAGGGGGAAGAGGGGGAGGGAGGGGGGGGGAGAAGGAGAGGGGAGGAGGGGGGAGGGAGGGGGGGAGAAGGGGAAAAGGGGGGAGGGAGAAGGAAAGAGGGGAGGGGAAAAAGGAAAGGGGGGGAGGGAGGGAGGGGGGGGAAGGGGGGGGGGAGGGAAGGGGGGGTGGGGGAGGAAGGGAAGGGGGGGGAGGGAGAAGGAAAGAGGGGGGGGGGAGGGGGAAAGGGAAGGGGTGGGGGGGGAAAAAAAGGGGGGGGGGAGGGGAA